TGGATCTCACTCATTCTTCTAAGTTAAAGAGAACTCGATGCTTGAGCTGAGTTGAAATGAATCAATGTACCACTTAAAGCACGTGCAATTTGATCTAAACAATGTTATTTTTCCATATGTACTTTTATTTCAAAATTGTAAAGATTCATATATTATCTTTTATTATATATGGTAAGCAATTTTTAGCTTAAGGTAAAAACTTTCACAGTTATAACAAACAAAAAATGCGGATAGTTTAACAGAACCAGAACAGCTGAATATATCTTACAGCCGGATTTGTCCTTAAATATTCACATCTCACAAACTGTTAAAGATTCAAAAACTGATGAAAACAAGACTTGAGTAGGCAATGATTACAATCTCTTCCTGTTTAGAAGAGCACAGGAATACGCATAATGACCCAGTTCAATCACACACACCTTTGGCCAGCACACAAGTGGTCAGAAACTGCCAGGACAGTGGCTGGGGGGAATCAAAGCGGGCAGGAAAGCCTTCTACTTCACCAAACACAGAGGACCAACTTTCAAATGTCTTTTACAAAACGTTCGGATGTTCAAGTTAGCAGAGACGAACAGCATTTAATGACTGCATCCCTGCAGAGAGGAAAAAGAAAAAACAGAACATAACCATCATTCTCCAGAGCAGACTGCAGAACACGCGTGTGAGAGGCCAATGGCCTGTGATACCCATAACCCAGCGGTTTCACAGAACAGTTTCAGACAAACTAAAGGAGCCGGGTAGCTAGGGAGTTATGACTCGGGCTGCTAACCACAGGTCAGCAGTTCGAATCTACCAGTTGTTCCATGGGAGACAGATGAGGCTTTCTGCTCCCATAAAGATTTACAGCCTCAGAAACCCCACAAAGGGTTGCTTCTTGGTGTGGTGAAGTAGGGTAAGAAGTGGACTGCAATCTCAGTGGTTCTGGCACTTCATGGTAATACGCTGGACCACAAGGTCAATATGGACTGCAAGGTCGGCAGTTCAAGCCCACCAGCCACTCCTCAGAAAGCTTATACAGGGTCATATGAGTCGGAACGGATTCCACGACACTTACCACCATCATCACAAAACTTGTGTCAAATATCACTTGAAACCAAGCATGAAGACCTGATGACGTGTTGGTTTTTGAGGTAGTATTTAAGGAAATCTTTACCAGAACATAGAAACCCTGGTGGTTTAGTACATTACACACTGGGCTGCTAACCGCAGGTTCGGAAGTTTGAATCTACCAGCCGCTCCATGGGAGATTTACAGCCTTGGAAACCCTACATACCAAATCCTACAGTCACTGTGAGCTGGAATCAACTACACACTGCATGGCAGGGCTTGGTTTCCATTTTTTCTTTTAACATCACAAAAGTTGTAACTGGATAAGCAGAAATTTAAATATTCAAACAAAACACTAGCAAACAATGAATTTCTAGAAAAGAACGAACTAGAACTGGATTTCCTAAATGTCTGTACTTGTCCCTAAGAATCCCCTCAGGATTTAAATGGTCATGTGATAACTTTCATCCACTGAAGTCACTTCTTACTGGGACCCCCACCCCCCAGGAGGTCTGGGGGCAGGAGCCTGGACCCTGGACAAGGGAGGGTGGCCCTAGTCATTGCCGGGTCCCTAATCCCAGGGACCCAGCGTCTCCCCCTTTAAGCCAGCACCCCCTCCTCCTGTCTCATCTGCAGCAGACCCTGTTTTACCTTTCCCCCTTTATAAGCTGTACATCAGAAGACTCACCCATTTTTAAAAAGAAAGCTAGAAATCCTATGCATTTCCTTCTCTGTTCACACTGCTGTGGGGGTGGGGAGTGTACCGCGTGCTGTAGATTTGATTACACTTCCATGTGACTCTTGGACTTCCAAGAGCGTCTCCCAAAGAGCCGCGGGGTGCGTTAGAACCACCCAACTTAACATCTGTGCCACCAAGGTCCTTTCAGTTTATATGAGGTAGACAATTGTGCTGTTTCTTACCAGGCTCTGCCGGATCATCTGTCTCAATCTATCAGACTAGAGACTGCGGCTAGTCTTGTTTCATTCAGTTATAGTTAGCCTATGAAGAGGCTTCAAACACTTTTTGAAACATCTTCTATTTCTCCAAAAGTAAAGAAAAAAACAGCTCTCACTTGGCATATTAAAAATACACATTTCTTCTGACCAAAATTAACATCAAACATACACATTGAGACTGTATTTCCCACGAACAATTTCAAAGGAGAATTGGTGTTCATATTTTACTGAATATTTGCCGTTATAGAATTCTGGTGTGGTGCTGGACGATCAGCAATGGACTGCAAACCACAAGGTTGACAATTCACTCACCAGCTGCTCCTTGGAAACCTACACAGGGTTGCTGAGTCGGAATCAACTCGGTGGCACCTAACAACAATATGGAAGAACTCTAGGACTTGTCAAAATTCTGTAGCTCCAAATAGCAGACAGCAAATGAAGAGTGCAAAATTGTGGCTGTTTGGTGCCAACGCGTCGGGACCAACTCATAGCGACCTTATGCCGAGAACGAAACACTGCCCGGTCCTTGGCCAACCTCACTACCGTTGCTACGCTTGAGTCCATAGATACTGCCACTTGGCCAATCCATGTCATTGGGGGTCTTCCTCTTTTTCTCTGATTCTCCATCTTACCAAATGTGATATCCTTCTCCAGCGACTGGTCCCTCTTGACAACATGTCCAAAGTATGAGAGACGAAGTTTGGCCACCTTAGCCTCCAGGGGGCGCTCTGGTTGCACTTCTTCCAACACAGATCTGTTGGTTCTTTTGGCAGCCCATGACACTTTCCATATTCTCCTCCAACACCGAAACTCAAAAGCATCAATTCTTCTAGGGTCTTCCTTATTCACTGAGTTTACAAAGTTATAGTTTATAAAACACATTTAGATACTTTATCTGTCAGTCGTCTGTTCAGTTCATTGAGAAAGTGTGACAGTTAAGGGTTGACAACGTGGCTGGGCCAGGATTCCCAATGGTTTAGCAGCTCAGCTGCAGTGATCACCGCATGGATGACACCCCCATGGGGTCATGGGATCCCATCCAATGCAATCTGCAGGATTACTTTGTATCTTGTGTCCATCTCTTTTGAGATCTAAAAGGAAGAGGGCAGTGAGCTGAGCTCAGAGGGCCCTCCTAGCAGCAGGAAAGATGAGCCGGGAGTGGAGTGTGTCCTTGGACCGGGGGTCCCTGAGCTGTGAAGCCCCAGGACACATGAGAGTCTCCAAGGCCTGATGGGCCTATAGATGCTGAGAGCAGACAGGTGCTCTGAGTTCAGACTCTAGCCCCCAAACTGTGAGAGGCAAAATTTCTGTCTGTTAAAGCCACCACTTTAGAAAAAAAGTCAAAGTTAATAAAATATACTTACACAGAATATTATCAAGGAGCTCTGGTAGCGTAGTGGTTACGAATCAGGCTGCTAACCTCAAGGCTGGCAGTTCGAAACTAGCAGCCATTCCATGGGAGAAAGATGAGGCTTCCTGCTCCCGTAAAGATTTACAGCCTCGGAAACCCTGTGCAGGGTCACTATGAGTCGGAACCAACTCCACGGTACTTAACAACATACAGAACATTGGAGTCCTGGTGTGGTACAGTGGGATAATGCACTGGACTGCAAGGCTGGTAAGTCAAACTCACCAGTCAGCCACTCCTCTGAAACCCTACACAGGATCCCTGTGAGTCGAAACCGACTCCATGGCTCTTAACAATAGTACAGAATATTATAATGAGAAACCTACGACAGCCCATGTATTCGTGTAAAGGCTAGTTGAAGAAACAAAAACGAAACAAATCCACGGACTCACCTTGCATATGGGATGTACGATAAGCTGTACCTGGAAGACAATTCAGACAGTGAGATTGCATCTGAGGATGTTTTCCTTCACGCCCGGTGGCTGGGTTCCAGCCGTGGAACGGGCTCTTGGCACACTAACTGGACACCCCCAGGACTGTGCTGTGACCATCAATATCTGCTCGAGTGCCTGGTTACCGGGGGAGCACTCAGCATTGGCTCGTCATGGGGCTGACCGACCACTGGAGACAGGAGCAGACATGCGAGGATGGAATCGTGTCCCCAGACTTGTGTGCCGTCAACCCTAACCTGTGGCCACCACCCCAGGACCAGCTGGGCCGAGATGTTGGTGAGGTGAGGACACGGGGTGTCTTGAGTCGATCACTTCTGAGACAGGAAAGCGATTAAAGCAGCAGAAATGGGGGCACTGATGTCAAGTCATAGGACAGTCACCCGGGAGCAGGAAGGGACCTGGCCCACAGCAGAGAGAGACGCTCCCTTGGCCTCCTAGTCTACAACCTGAGATACAGGACCTTTCTGTTTGTGAAAGCCCCCACATGTGGGGTTTGTGGCCGCAGCACAGAGGCCCAAGATGGACACGTGGAGGGGCCTGTACCACCTGACTCCACAGGTGCCCAGGGAGCTGGAACCACGTCTGATGTGCAGCTTCCAAAGAGCGGGAGAGGAGGTGCGGGTAGGGGTAGCCACAAAGCAAGTGCTCACCAGAGCACCAGAGCACCCAGGGAGGGCCCCGGTGACTCTCTCTGTAGATGCCGCCTCTTTCTTGTCCTGTCCCCACCTCTCATTAAGGGCACCTGCTGTGCAGCTCCATGGGACAAGCCCCCCCAATGCTTCCCTCTTCTACTGAACCCTGCACCCTCCCAACCCCATCCCCCCAACTAAAAGTGCTGACATCCCGCCTCACGGAACCAAATCCAAGACCCAGGCTTCCGCACCCCATCGGACTCTCAGATGAAAGGCCCGGCGCTGCCCAGGGCTTGCTGGGCTCTGAGCAGAAAAGTGTCTCTGAGGTTGGGGCTTTCAGTCACACTGGAGGAAGACGGCTGACTTACCAGGTCATAGACAGGAACTGCAGTATGCAAAACAGCAGGGCCAGCCCCTTCTTGTGCCACTGGCAACAAAAACAGAGGGGCACCAAGGTGAGGGTTTAAAAATACACAGCATGATCAAGTTCAAGCCCTGCCCTTCAAGAATGTAGACGGGTAACCACACTCATTCAACTGGAGTACAATACATTTAAGCAGCAGTTGATCCGAAATGTAAATATTCACAAAGTACAGTTCAGTTCCCAAATTCTCCATGTATCCGTTAATTTAAATACTTGGAAATGGGACAGAAATGCAGCTGAAAGCCCTGTGCACAAACCGAAAATATTAAAACCATACACGCTGGGTTTTTTTGGGGGGGTGGTGGTGAGAAGGAGAAAACATCTCTAGTTTATTCTACTCAAAAGGAGAATTCTAAGCCATTTGACACTTGAAAATCACTTTGAATCACCAACGCGTCACCCTCTTGGGTTTGTACAGCCAATGTCTATGCAGTTCACAATAAAGAGTTACAATTAAGTCAATGAAACATTAAAAAATAAATAAATAAAGCCCACGTCAGCACTTCCACACTTCAAGAACTTGCCAGATTTAAAGCTCCACCGAGACCTACAACCCCCAGGAACTGACCAGCTTCATTCATTTCAACTCGTACATTGACTTCTGTTTGGGGGGATGAAGAAAACGGAATCTCACCAACATCTTTTAGAATTCTGTAACAAACAGTCACTCCAGTTGTCCCATAAGGATCAAGTTTGTGAATTCTTTGTCCATCTTTACTTTTCTACTTTTATTTACATCATTATTTTGAATCTATTGCTCATAAAGAAACTCAGTTTTCCTCAGGGATGTGCGAGTACAGAAATGTCCGTGGTCACTGGGAAACGCAGAGCCCAACACTGACAGGGCAGTTCTCAGCCTCAGCTCACAGCCTCGGCTCCAAACTGTGGCCTTTCCTGGGAACTCGAGAACAGACCAAAGCCCTCAGGAAAGTAGCGGATACCACAGTGACTGTAATGAAGAATCAGGGTCTCCAGCAAGTAAATGCAACTGTACCCTTTCAACTTTTCTAAAGGGTACTGAAAAGTGCTCACCCTAACTTACAAGGCTGGATTCTGTTTGTCTCTTTCCCTAACAAGAACCTTGGTGGTGCCTTGGCAGACCCACCGGTCAGCCCCGGGGCACAAGGGTGAGGAAGGCTGCTTCTGTTACATTCACAGCCTTGGGGGGCCGAGGAGGTTCATCCCGTCACTGGTTTCACTGTGGTCTGGCTGCTCATCAACATACCAGCCCCACCAGTCCCTCACTGGGCAAGAACGTCAGCAAACAGGACACTGTGCCGAGCCTTCCCCCAGGAGGGGCATTTACTGCTACTGTCAGCCTGGCCGACCACACGCACAGCCAACCTCCGCAGGGAGCAGACACGGCAGTCATGAGGCTTCAGGGCACACGGTGACAGTGCTGCCACTAGACTAGTGTACGGCGGGCACAGCAGCGTGACAGGGGAGGAAGTGAGGCCAGGTGAGGCCAACTGCACATAGAGGAACGGAGCCCAGAGACCTGAGAGCACCTGCTGCTGGAACACGGGCTAACACGGAGTAACACGGGGTTGATGGACCTGCTCCAGGCTCAGATTTGCACAAACCTTCCACTTGTAGACAATGCTGCATGTGCCAAGCACAGGCACACAGTCTGCTTGTGAGAGGGGGCTTCAAGCAGTTTGTGGGAAACATAACTGAAAGATGGAGGTGTGTGCGTGCGTGTGTCATCCTTCTGCTTGGTTTTAGATATCAGAACTTATCACCAGTCCGCCCACGAGCTGGATGTCCCCATATCCTCTGACAGGACAGTGTGATGACATTTTACCCCCGAGGGAGCCTGGCTGAGGACAGAGAATAAGCAGAAAGGCATCACGTTCAGTGTAACTTACCCAGAATGCAGCACACAGCGTGAAGATGAAGCATAACTGCATAGAAGAAAACAGTATCGTAAGTTGGGCCCTTTCAGAAACCTCCTCCCACCACTCAACAGACTTCATGCGCACCAAGAACACACCACAAGCCACACATCATTCAATGGCTGGGACAGGGCCTCCAGCTTGGCTTTGATGACCCAGCGGTTTATTCTAAAGTTTACGGGGCTATATTCCTCGAAAACTGGAAGCATCGAATGCTCCATTAAGGACATAGCCATGGTGCCCGCAGAGTCTTCAGAGGGACAAAAGAGCTTCTAGGAGCCCTGGTGGTGCGATGGATTAAGCACTTGGCTGATAACTATCAGGTGGGTGACTTGGAGAGAGACGAGGTAGTCTGCCTCTGTGAGGATCACAGCCTCGGAGGTCTTCGGGGCAGTCCCCGCTCTACCCTACAAGGTGTCTGAGTGTCCATGTTCACAGACATCGGTACAGCTGGGCACGTCGGGGCGCTCTCCCCTTCACTCTGTACTCAGGTTTCCTGTCATCACCACCCTGAGCGCCCCTTCATGTGAGCACCACCAGGCGGAGGAAGGAGAACAAGGGTGGTCTCCAGTGGTGACAGGGAGCTCTCTGCCCCCCCACCCCGTCTTTATAGTGAGGAAAATTCTGACCTCGCAGCTCCCATCTGGAGTGCCTCTGTGCTGGGAGCAGGCAAGAAACTAAAAACATTACGGGCTGAGCCGTAACCCAACGACACCACACAAGCCAGCTGTCCTTTTGCGGCGGGGGGCAGTCCCCATGCCCTCTCACTCTCTGGACTCCGTGCTCACGGTTCTGTAAGGAGCCCGCAGAGACAATCGTCAGTGAATCTGAGCAAAATCCTACTGGAGTATAACCTCCCCATCAGCCTACTTCACGTTTACACTCCAGCAGAATGCAATGAGATTTGCTGTATTCCAGACGTCCTTGTTCCCGAGACTGAAGCTCAGCAAAGAGTCTTACAGGAGAATTTGGGAAGGACCAGACAGGTGGGGGGAAGACGCTCCTAGTCCTGTCTGTGATGCCCTCCATGGAGATTGGAGAGAGGCCAAGGACCCAAACACGTTACCATGGTGAAATGAAACGCTGCATCTGAGGACAACAGTGTACTCGGCCCACCCATGTTCGAGGCTGAAGGCGCCGAGGCAGGAAGCAACTGACTGACCACGAGGTCCTTGACACAGGGAGGCCATCCGGTCTCCCGAGCTCCCTGACAAGCCTTCCGGGCTCATACGTCACCTTTCTGCCTCTATGCACAAAGGCGCACAAACAACAGAAACACTTGGCAGGACATAACCGAAACCCAGCCGCCTCCGGCTGTCCCTTCATCTACACGGAGCTACAGCTTTCCATGGTGAGCCCATCCCTTTCAGACGGCACAGTGCAATCCAAACTCCTTCCACACACAGCCTTAGCTGACATTCCACAAGAAAAATGCAACACTGGTATATGCGTAAGAGCAATGATTTGTAGATAAGCAACCAATGTTTCAACTGCGGCTTTTAAAGAAAAATAATTTACTTACAAGTACAAGAATCGTTGCCAGCAATCTCGTGGTTTCAAACATTTTCTTCAGTTGCTTCAGTGGTCCCATTAAAAAGCACGTACTATTTAAAACAAATGAAAGAACTGAGATACAGGTCTACCAATCTGTGCAGCTGTGTAAAAGCAAACTTGCTTACAACGAAACAAAAATACAGTATGTTACTTTAGCAACAGAGTCCTGGTGGGGCGCTATAGGATAAGCACTGGACTGTTAACCACAAGGGTGACGGTCAAACCCACCCGCCAATCCTCGGACACCCTATACAGGGTCACTGTAACTCAGAACAGACTCAATGGCACTTTACAACAATTTTATCTCCAACACCTGTGACCGCTGCAAGACTGTCTAACACCAGCAAAGGGCAGCTCGGAGAGCAGGGTCATGGTCAATGCCAGGCAGGAGCTGGTGTCCCCTTACCACGGCAGCACCCAGTCCAGGGGAGGGATGGGGGCTCCTGCTCAACACGGAGGGGGCCTGTAAGGAGATGGGGGTGATGGGGGAGCTCAGAGCGGCTCACAGGAGTCCCCTTGGGGGTGGTTATTCTTAGCATGTAGGTTTCCTGCCTGCTACAGTGGCTGGCTCAGAGGCGTCCAATATTCACAGAAAGAACATAAATGCTGGGGGCCACAGCACATCAACTCAAGCCCTGCCCTGCCCTGCAGTCCACTGCAGTCACAGGGGCCCTGCTGGACAGCTCCAATCTCTCAAAGGCTTTCCCAAGCCTTCCTCTATACGGAAGCACACTGCCACGTCCTTCTCCCATGGAGCAACTGGTGGGTTCGAACTGGGCACTTTGAATGGGTTCAGTCCTGACTGGTGAAGCAAAAACAAAAGGACCTGTATTTTTTCATTTGGGCGAACAAGACTGATGCCTGAGTGGGAAAATGTCAGGAAGAGGCAGCGTGAGTCCTGTCCAGGGTCTGAGGCGAGACAGACACTGTCACGGCTGCGAGGTAGTCTGTGAGCTGGAACTGGTTGACAGGGATGGATTTGTTTTTTGAAGTGACGACTCCACTTTATCCAAAGTTTAAAATTTCAGGCCGCCTCAGCCTCGACTGGACCAGGCTGTATGAGTTCGAAGCCACCAGGGCTCCTCTGACATTAGGAGAGAGCTTGGGCCACTGTTAGCCATGGTGTTATGGAGTCGGTGCCAACCCATAGCAACCCTGTATAGGATTTCCAAAGAACAACTGGTAAGTTTGAACTGCCGCCCCTGTGGTCCAGCACTTATCCTACAGTGCCATACAGTTAGCCGTGCACACAAAAATTTTGTGGGGCCACACTGAGTACATACCTGGCCAGCGCAGCAATATTCCCAAGGGTATAGAACACGGCGAAAAGCTGAATGCCATGGCGGGGCAACCAGAGCAGCCCAGTGCCCTGTAGGAGAGGGAATTGACAGACGTGGTCATTTTATGGCTACCTCAGCCCTACTCACAAGGTGTCCACAGCATACAGTATGGTACAAGGAGAATGTACTCCTTATTGGAATACTCAGTCATTTCCAACATTATTTGCTAATTTGGGTAGTTTGTCCATTTGCATACAGATGTGAGGGTTGTTGTTTCTGATGGCCAGGGAGGCGGGTCTGACTCACCGCAATCATGATGATCTTGCGGTTCAAACACGCTTGCAGCAGTCCACTGCTTACCCTACGGCCCCACACCAGGACTCCGAGGTATGAGGGTAGACTAAAAAATACTGTGGCAAATACAAAGAAACCTGTACTAACCCCTAAATTCCAAACATGAAGCTACTGTCTCTCTCTCTAGATCACACACTTCTGACCCTTCCCCTGGGCAGTGTGGTGTTTCCAGAGGAAAAGTACTGGACTGCAAACTACAAGGTCGGAAGTTCGAGCCTGCTAGCTGCTGTGTTCCCACAAAGATTTACACCCTACACAGAGTCTCTGGGAGTCCTAACCGACCCCACAGCACTCAGCAACCACACAACCTTCCCGAGAAGAACAAAGTTTCTACTATGTCAAAGTGGGGATTGGGCATCCTCAAGGGACTCACACCGCGTTACTTTTCAATGTTCTTTTGAGTTGGGGGAACGAGAAGTCTGAAGGGCTGCAGGGTGGGTGGGGTAAGGTTCCCAGTGGAGTTCCTGCAGGACAGCCCTTGTTCCCCCACCTTGAAGTATGAGGAAGTGTGCTATGGTTATGGAGACCTTCCTCAGTGTAGCTTTCCCGGGGGCCTTTGTCCCACAATGCCCCATTCTTACACTGTATTCAGAAGCAGCTCTGCGAACCGCCCTGTGTCCTTTGAGAATATGTGTCCATATGACACCTTGGGAATCTCAAAAACACCCTTCACAGCCCTCAGAGCTGACCTCCCCGCCTGGAGTTAACCGACCCAGGAGAGCCCTCAGAAGACGCGGGTGTTCCTGAAGACAACCTAACAAGTCTAGGGTTAGTGAGTGAATCCCCGAGGGCACTCGTCTACAGCCATCCAGACAAGTTTATCCCAGAACATATTTAAACATGCCTCTGTAATATCTAAGCATTGCAGAGACATGAATACATGTTTTTGTTGGATTAAACTCATGCAAGCATGAACTGGGTTCAATACTTAACTTAACCTCACATATATAAATGGTTCACAGGAAAACCTTTTTCATGAGCAAATCTCATTCTATTTCAATTTAGCAGCCTTTTTAAATGGCAGGTGGAAAAGGTTATAAAGCAACTGAAAGTCATTGCCGCTGGGCCTTCTGACTCGTGTCCACCCCAGCGATGCTGAGTAAAGCTGCTCCTGGGTGCTCTGGGCTGTGATCTTTATGAAGCAGATCACCAGGCCTTTCTTGTGCAGTGCTGCTGGGGAGGTTCCTATCACACCCCCTCTATGCTGTCAGACAAGCACAAACAGTTGACACCAAAGCTAACTAGCACACTGCCACCAAGTTCATTCTGACTCGGAGAACTGTCCCCCAAGGCTTCTGGGACCATATGGCTATGGGAGCAGGCAGCCTCACCCTGTGCTTGCAGAGAGGCTGCTGGGTTTGAACCAGTGATCTGGGGTGAGCAGCCCAATGTTAACCTGCTCCTCCTGAAACACAGCGACAAACACACCTCAATCCATGACTTTTTTCCAGCTTTCTTAATACATTCATTTCTTAGATAAAATGGACAGAATCCCTAAAACATGCACGTTCACATTTTTATCAAGCTGTACCCCTTTGTTCTGGACTCCTGGTATGGCACTGCAGATAGGCACTGGACTGCTAACCGGAAGCCCTATGCGGGGTCACTGTGAGTCCGAGGTGATGAGGATGCTCTAACATTCCGCTGGCATGGGGACCATTGGGCCAGACCACCACACAGGGGCGCGCTGTGGCTCACTCACCAGGATGGAACAGATGATACCGCCCACGAAGCAGATGGCGAACCACCTCAGTCTGGTGCTGAAGCTGAGGGTCGAGGCATCCAGGACCTGGGGGGAAGGATTCAGAACATGTCTTTAGTCCTCTCAGCCAACAGGGACTTCTAAAGGACATTATGTCCTCAGGGCTAGGGGTCCAAGCTCAGGCCAGTGCGTCTCAGGCCTCGTGTGGGGCTTACACGGCAGTACAGTGTTGCCGGTCTGGGTGGGGCAGGGGCAGCCTTCACAGTCCACTGCCCACCTCCACCAGAGGTCTCTCTGCCTGCAGGCTGGGGGCTGGGGTACTGAAGAAACTGCCAGTGAGCAAAAGGCAGAGCTGGGGGCCACTAGTGGACAGTGCGCCTGTCCAGAAAGGACACTGGACAGGCTCCCGAAGTGCCCGTTAGCTAACAGCTTTGTCCAAATGTATCCATTAGAAAGCGGGGGTGCTCACACCAATCATTTCAAACGACGGTTTACTCTAGAGCCCCAGCACCTCCCTGAGCACACAAAGTCTGACTAAATCAGGTGCGGAGAAAGGCAGACGTGATTCTGCCTGTGTTCCACGGTATGATAATGCCACGTTCAGTAACGATTTGGTAAACACATGTACACTGCTAAGTACACCATTCAAACTTATTTTCCTAATAAAGCTGATAAAGTATCAACAACAGCTGCTTCAAGAAAACTACAAATGTCTAATATTTACAGCCCAAATGTTACATTTCTAATTTATATTACCATACATGCTTAATGATGATGCATTTTCAAGGACAATGAGTAAAACAGAGAGCTTTAAACACAACATCTTAGAACAGAGGTCGTGACCCCCTTACCTGGGCGAAGTCATCTCAGCATCCTTGTGCAGCATGAAAAGTAGATAAAAATCACATCACATGTCACTTCTGACACATGTTCCTTTCAGTTCATTTCATTCAATCCACATTCTTGTTCCATAAATACAATCTTTTGATAATAAAACGGATCTTAAACAAGGTCGAACTTTCCTCTAAGAGGATCCGTTCTGTTTGACCCAGAGGAGTGAATCAGAAGGAACCCGGCTTCACATCACGTACTTCACGAACGAAGAACAGATTCCCCAAGAAATGGAAGCCGGGTGGGGGGGGTGGGGGGGAACCCAGGCGAGATGTCCAGTCAAGAAGGGCTGCTTCCAGTGAAGGCCCGGAGCAGCCTCTGGCCATGTGTGAGTACAGAAAATTCAATCCACAAGTAAACGGCTTCTCATTAGCCCCTAACTCTGGGGATCCAGTAATAGGCCCCAGATGCCTGGCATCTGGTGAGGAAAAGCGAAAAGCGCACAACCCTTCAACACACATGTTGCCGTCCCCCACAGCCCACCCGGGACCCGGCCTGCCCTGCTCTATGCAGCAGCAGCAGCCGTCCCAGCGGTGCCTTGCTGCAGCCACACCCATGAACAAGGAAACCGGCTTGCTCATAGAATCAGAACGCAGGAAACCTGGTGTCAGAGCCACCACAGCTGGGGAGAGAGTGCTGGGCACAGGCGGTGGAGCTGACCATGGTCCTTCCCACTGTGGGGCGGAGATGCACAAGGGCCACATTACCTGCTGCCCTCTGGTCAGCAGGGGACAGCACATCAGTGGCCACAGGGCAGACAGAGGATCAGAGCTGCCACCAGCCTGTTCAGAAGCTGCCGCTGCCCAGCCATCCTCGCCACCCTGCCCTCCAGGGTGCCTGGCACATCAATCACCCCACCGCCCCTGTGCTCCTTTCTCTGTGAAACCTCCTCCTCCTCGTAAAGTCACCACGTAAAGCTCAGCTCTGCTGACCCCACCTGTGTACCTGTCCCCTCCCCACCATGGAGGCTGACAAGGGCAGACCAAAGCTCTGGGCCACTCGACGAGGAGACAGGAGGCCCGGCAGAGGCCAGGTGCACACAGCATATCCATGGTCCCATCCCTCCTCTAACCTTGCCCCTACTTGGCCAGTCCATCTCATTAGGGGTCTTCCTCTCCTTCTCTGACCCTCCACCTTACCAAACATGATATCCTTCTCCAGTAACTGGTCCCTCCTGACAATATGTCTGAAGTATGAGAGATGAAGTTTGGCCATCTTGGCCTCCAAGGAGCACTCTGGCTGCACTTCTTCCAACACAGATCTGTTGGTTCTTTTGGCAGCCCACGGCACTTTCAATATTCTCCTCCAACACCAGAACTCAAAAGCATCAATTCTTCTACAAGGGGCAAAGTTATGAAAACTTAAGACATAACCCAACACCTTGAGGGAATGAATCACTGGACCCTGGGGCTCAGGAGTACGATTTCAGGGGACACCAAGGTCAACTGGCACCATAAAGCCCACCATGATGAAGTTCTACATCCTATTTAGGTGGGCGGGGACTAGGGTCTTAAAAGCTTGTGAGCAACCATCTAATATGCAGCGACAGGTTTCTCCCTGTCCAGAGGGAGGCAGAGTGATGGAAACTGAAGACAATGGACTTATGGGCCAGGTGAACACCAGTCCCTACAGCCTGCCGAGACCAGAGAACTAGACGGTGCCCAGTTATCACCAACTGCTCTGAAAGGAATCCCATCAGAGGGTCCTGCACAGTGTGGGGCAAATTGTGGAACAAAAGCCAAAGTCATAAAAATGATCAGGCGTACCAGTCAGATGGACCGGGGGAACCAACCCAGAGACAACAGCAATTAGTCAGCCTTCAGATCAGCGGCTCAATTTTCCTCCAAGCAACAGACTGCTCTAAAAGGGAACACTCACACAGGGAGGTGTGCACACCTTACAACAATCAGAAGGGCAGCATCTGGCCAAGAACCAAGTCCAGAAGGGTTAGGAGAGGACGGGAAGCAGGAAACAGAAGGGAAGTGGGAGAAATGATATGACACTCAGGGCTTTACCATCAATGAGGTGAAACACAATGTGCATGGCAAACGTGAACTGCTGACCTTCTCTGTAATCCTTCACCCAATTCACAGTAACTTAAAAACCAAAAGCAGGAACTGCAAAACGACACAAAAACATCAAGTTCTGGAAAATTCTGTCATACATCCTAGAACTTCCACCAAGGGTGTGGCTCCACAGTCTTTTACGGGAGATCAGCCCTGTGACGGACGGACAGATCGGATCCACCCCGTACAGAAACCCCGTCACACCACTCCTTCCACTTCTCAGGGGCTTCTGGGCCTTCAGAATGAGAATACAGCTCTTGGGATCAGTGGTTTGTTGGTTCACTGTGAGGGGACCAGCAGGACACAGACACAGCGGACTAAAAGAACACAGATGATCTCATTGTGGGCACCTGAGGGAACATTGGACATCCTGCTCTCCCTCAAAGGTCTCCGCATCTGCCTGCCACTTCTCCACCAATACCATGCTCCTGATGGTTTCATGACTGAAGAACTACCCTTTCCAAACTGTAACCATCAGTGCTTAACCTTCTTCTCCACCACACCTTCCTTCAGCCAATCCCCCGATCACTCCGTGACAAAAGTAATCTCTAGCTCCAGCATCCCATCTCCTCATCTTCCACTCAGTAACCCTGTCTTTCCCGTCCCCCCAACTCCACCACGTCCTCTCCCTGCCACCTTGTGTCGTGGCCAGTCTTATCATCATTCCTCGAGTGTCTTCCCAACTTCTTCACCTTCTGTCCTGATGGATTTATGTGGCCAAAGATGAGCCCTAGTGAAACCCATCTCTCAGCCCACCTGCAGAAATCAGACAACAATGGACTGCATACCTGTTGGGTAAATTTGGGCAAATCTGCGGCAAGACACTTCTTTCGTTCTAAAAAGCAGTCACTTTGAGGACGACAGTGTGCCTTATCCAAGCCACGGTATTTTCGATCACTTCACATGCATGAAAAAGCTACGCAATGAACAAGACGACCATAGAAAAATCAATGCACTTGAATTATGGTGTTGGCAAAGAATACGGAAATATCATGTTATTTCCAGAATAAACCAATCTGTCTTGTTAGAAATACAGTCAGCCTGCTCCTTAGAGGGGAGGACGGTAAGACTTCTTATCTCATGTTCACTGGACATGCTGTCAGGAGGGACCAGCCCCTGGAGAAGGACATTATGCTGGGGAGTGGTGGTGGTGACGTGCCGTGGAGTCGATTCTGACTCATCGGGACCCTGTATAGGGTTTCCAAGGCTATAAATCTTTATGGGAGCACAAAGCCTCATCTTTCTCCTGTGGAACAGCTGACCTTGAGGTTAGCAGCCCAACTTGTGACCACTACATTACCACAGCTCCTTTGGGAGAGTGAAGGGACAGTGAAAAGGAGGAAGACCCCAATGAGATGGACTGACCCAGTGGCTACTGTAACAGGCTTAAATCTAACAGTTGTCAGGACGACGCAGGACCGGGCAATGTTTCCTTCTACGTGCAAAGGGTCGCTACGAGTCAGAGCCAGCTGAAAGGCACCTACCACCATCGCTGTCCTGCTGCTAAATGTGGCTGGAGAAAAACCACAAAACGATGCTGACTCTTTAAATCCATGACCACCCGCCTCAAGTGGGACCTCCGTACTGCTAGCAGCTCTACTCTCATTCCCTAGCCCTTCACATTCCCACGCTCTTCCTCAACCAGCACACCTTCTCTGTGAGCTTCCAGCAACACAGCCCCTGCCTTTCCACCCATCAGCAGCTGCCAACAGCCCAGCCCCTCTACTAGGCACGATCTGCGGTTTCCTGATGCTCCCAGACAACCGCACATGTCCCTCAAAACCCCCACCCACTTCTGGTAGTCCAAGGTATTTTCAATATTCTTCTCTAAGCCAAAACTCAAACGCACCGATTTCTCTACAGTTGGCCTTATTCATTGTCCAACTTTCACACACAGATGAGGCGACTGAAAATGCCATGGCCAGGGTCTGGCACACCTTAGTTCTCAAGCTAGTATTTTTGCTCTGGAACACGTTAAAGAGGTTTTGTGCAGCAGATTTGTCTAATTCAATGTGCCATTTGATCTCTTCCTGCTGTGTGCTGACTGTGAGTCCAAGCAAAATGAAGTCTTGGACAATTTGAATCTTTTCTCCAATTATAATGTTACTTTAATTGATACAATAGCCAGGATTTCTGTTTTCTTTACACTGAGATTTGACCTATACTGAAAGCTACAATCTCTGATCTTCATCAGTATTTTAAGTCCTCTTCACTTCCAGCATACAAGGTTGCATTATCTGCATATCACAAGTTGTAGATGAGTCTTCCTCCAACCCTCCATTCTTCTTCATATAATTCATCTTCTCAGATTATTAGCTCAGCATACAGACTGAATAAGTATGGTGAAAGAATACAATCCTGGCCCACACCTTTCCTAATTTTAAACCACTTGATATTCCCTCGTCTGTTCACATGACTGCTTCTTGGTCTGTGAACAGGTTCCTCATGAGCACAATTAAATGTCCCAGAAAACTCATTCTTCACAATGCTATCCATACCATGTCATGATCCACACAGTTGAAACTCTCTGCAGAGTTCATAAAGCACAGGTACACATCGTTCTGCTATTCTCTGCTCATGATCTGGCATCTGCAATGATGTCCCTAGCACCATGTTCTCTTCTGAATCTAGCGTGAGTTTCTGGGGGTCGCTTTAAGTCTGCAGCCAGTTTTAAATTATCTTCAGCAAGATGGCTTGCCCGTGGTATCAGTGTTACTGTTCAGTGATTTCTGCATGCCGTTGGCTCCCCTCGTTGGCCCGATAGCTGTCTTCCACGGTTCTTGGCATCCATGAGTGAGCACCTTCAGTGTTGCTCCAGAGTGCTGAAAGATTCCAATTTGGTTTACGGTTGGACATTACTTTTACGACTTGCCTGGCCAGCAGATTGTCTCTGAGTAACCTGGATCACAAGACACCCTTCAGGAGTGTAAGGACAAGCGAGCAGGAGAGGAAAGGGAACGAATAAAATGTGCTTACACCATCAATGGAGTCCTGGTGTGGCGCTGCGGGTTAGTGCATCAGACTGCAAAGTCAGTTTGATCTGCAAGGTGGGTGGTTCAAGCTCACCAGCTACTCCTCGGAAACCCTATATAGGGTCTCTAAGGGTCCGGACCCAACAACAACACACCCTAAACGTGTTTAACGTTCTAACAGTCCCACGTAGGTTGGCAGACAAACCAGATTTGGTAACAAATATAAAATCGCATGCAAAGCAGTTCCTGTGGACCCTTCCTCCAGGTGGCCAGCTGCAGGCGGAAGCGGCCCCAGCCCGTGGGGGGAGGTGCGACACAAACTTCTTTCCCCCAAAGCTCTTCAAGGCTCAGCGCCTCCGTCCCAGGCGGCTCAGAACCCCATCTTCCGCTCCCCTCCCCGCCCCCCACGGCGGCGGGGGCTGGGGGTCCACCTCCCCGGGGTACAGTACGGGCCACCAAAAGGCCCCGGAGATCTCGGGTCAGACAGCGGCCGGAGGAGGCTGATTTAGGGGCGCCGGGAAGCCACGCGGGCTCCGAGGAGTCAGAGGACAAAACGTGGGGAGAAAGAAGGGGGTTCTCAAAGTGGGCCATAAAACCTGGGGAAAAGCCCTCAAGTTCCTTCAGGCGTGCGATGCAGCCCTCCCGAACCCCCCAAATCTCCAGATCCCCGCCCCCAGGCCGGCCCACGGCCGGTCACAGCGTCCCGGGGCGCTACCTGCGTGGTGAGGCCCTGCTCCTCGTCGTCCTGGCCGCTAAGCACCCGCCGCAGCTTCTCCATGGCCCTGTCCGAGGGCCGCAGCGGCGGCTACGAGCTCGCCGGCCCTCCGCGCCCACCCGGAAACCCACGGCCGGAAATCCCGTGCGCAGACCGGACGTCCTGGGTCCGTCCGCGCTCTTTTATTCTGCAGTCTATGCGACCTCCGTGAGTGACACGCATGCGCCAGGCTCTTGGGGAAGCCAACCGGAAGTCTGGATCCGTCCACGGCCGGCGCAGGACGACGCGCGTGCGCACCTGGGGCGCCGTGGTTGAGGACTTGGTAGTCTTTGGGGGCTGGGAGGGCGTTTGGTAGCGACGCAAACTTTACGTGGCTTCAGGGTTGGAGGACGACTCATTAAGGCCTGCAATATGTAGATGATACAACCTTGCTTGCTGAAAGTGAAGAGGACTTAAAATACTTACTGATGAAGATCAAAGACTACAACCTTCAGTATGGGTTGCAGTGCAATGTAAAGAAAACAAAAATCCTTACTACCAGATCAATAAATAGCATCATGATAAATGGAGAAAAGATTGAAGTTGTCAAGGATTTCATTCTTCTTGGATCAACCATCAACACTCACGGAGGCAGTAGTCAAGAGATCAAAGGACGTATTGCATTAGGCAAATCTGCTGCACAAGACCTCTTTAAAGTGTTGAAGAGCAAAGATGTCAGTTTGAGGACTAAGGTCGCCTGACCCAAGCCATGGTATTTTCATTAGCCTCATATGCATGTGAAAGTTGGACAGTGAATACGGAAGACTGTAGAAGAATTGACGCATTTGAGTTATGGTGTTGGAGAAGAATTTTAAAGGTATCATGGAAGAGCAATCTGTGTTGGAAAAAGTACAACCAGAATGGTCCTTAGAAGTCAAGAGGACCACACTTCATCTCTCATACTTTGGGCATATTATCAGAAGGGACCAGCGCCTGGAGAAGGACTTCTGCTTGGTAAGGTGGAGGGTCAGTGAACAAGAGGCTAGCCCCCCAAAAGATGGATAGGCACATTGGTAGGAGCAATTGTGAGGCCGCTGTGGGACTGGGCCGTGTTTCCTTCTGTTGTCCACAGGGCCACTATGCGTTGCAATTGCCTTGAGGGCACCTAACAGCAACAACAAAGCTACTTAAAATGTACAGTATACGTTCCTCCAAGGTTTCCCTTTGGCACTGTAGTGATGGTTATGTATTAAACATGTCCCCAAAGTTCTAACCCTATATGTCCTGGTGTGGCACTGTAGGATAAGCAACAGCTGCTTCTCAGGAGCCTTGTACAGGATTGTTATGAGTCGGAACCGACTTAACAACAAACCTGTACCTGTAAAGATGACCTCGTACGTTAATGAGGTCTTGCCAGAGTGGGGTGGGTCCTAAACCTCATCATTTCTGAGTTTTCATTAGGTGCCCTGGAGTTGGTACCAACTCATAGCAATCCTATGTACAACAGAACAAAGCACTGCCTGGTCCTGCGTCATCCTCACCATCATTCTGAGGAGAGTCTTCTAGAAAGGAGAAGCATATGGAGAGAGACACACGGGACAGATGCCATGTGAGGACACATCAACATCAAGAAAGACCTCGGGCTCTTTGGCCAATTGCAGAGCTGCTGCTGCTGCATGTGGTCATGTAAAGCTTTACGGGAGGGAGCAAAAAGCCTCACCTTCCTCTTGTGTAGTGACTGATGGACTCCAACTGCTGCCTGAGGTTAGCAGTCCGGCACCTAACCCACTACATCACCAGGGCTCCTTGTGTCAACAGGGAGGGAACCTCAATTCAGTCTTCTGGCCTCCACAACTGTGAGGAAATGAATTTTCTTCAAACTCAGTTGCTTGTGGTGTTTTTGTTACATAACCGGCCTAATCAACTTAGTAACTTTCGTTTTCCACATATAAAAAGATGGAACAAAAGTAATGAGAGAGATTGTTCTCCAAGAATCATGAAGTTTCTCACGTGAAATTGATGATATTCAATCATTTTTACCCTAAAAAGCGCAACTTCAAATGGTCCAACTTAAACTTGGGTGTGAACATTTTTCCTTAGAAAACAATATTGAGGTCCGAGTGGACCTAGCAAACCGAGTGGTGTGATCACGACTCGGAGACTCGTAGCGCTTGCAGCATGGCTGACCAACCGACTGACGAGCAGATTGCAGAATTCAAAGAAGCTTTTTCACGATTTGACAAGGATGGCGATGGAACTTTAACAACAAAGGAATTGGGAACTGCAATGAGGTCTCTTGGGCAGAATCCCATAGAAGCTGAATGACAGGACATGATTATTGAAGTAGATACTGTTGGTAATGACACAATTGACTTCCCAGAATTGCTGATGATGGCAAGAAAAACAAAAGACACAGACAGTGAAGAAGAAATCAGAGACGCATTCCGTGTGTTTGATAAGGATGCCAATGGTTGTATTAGTGCAGCAGAACTTCATCACGTGATGACAGACCTGGGGAGAAGTTAACAGATGAAGAGACTGATGAAGGGATCAGGGAAGCAGATATTGATGGTGATGGTCAAATAATGGCAGCAAAGTGAAGACATTGTACAGATGTATTAAATTTCTTGTACTAAATTGTTTATTTGCCTTTTCTTTCTTTGTAACTTACCTGTAAAAGGTTTCCCATTACTGTCAAACGAATCTACATGTATGGTAATTAGGACTTCACTCCTCCATGTCTTCTTCCATTATCTTATTGTCATTGGCCTGAAAACTTTTTGTAGAAAATTGATCAAGTACTGTGTTGTATGTGGCTGACTCTGGATCTATCTAAGCCCTTGTTGTTGTTGTTGTTGTCAGGTGCCATCGAGTCGGAACCGACTCATAGCGACCCTATGCACAGCAGAACGAAACAATGTTCGATCCTGGGCCAACCTCACTACCGCTGCCACAC